ATTTGCATGGATGTAACCTGAGGCCAGGGCTTGATTCACCACCTTTGAGTGGTGAGCCAAACCCTGCTCTGGGATCAAAAGGGAGAGAAAACAAGAAAATATTCACAAATGAGTTGAAAAGCAAACAAATCCCCCCCAAAAAACCCAAAACAGGAGTGGGGGGAGTGTCCTTCCATCACCATCACTGTGCTACCAGGAGCTGTGAGAGCACTGGGTTATTAATTGATAAATTGAAAGGCTGAGGCTCAACTTCAAACTGGTGGCCAAGGAAAGAAATGTGTTCTGCTTTGTTCTGTCATTGCAGGGAAAAGGAGAAATAAATAATATATTCCTGTTTTTCCCAACCTCAGCCTTTGCAATCCTGCTTGAGTGGGGAGTCCTAAGCCTGGCTCTTGGCTCACCTGAGCTTGAGCTCTGCAGTCATTTCCCAGCCCTGAATTCCAGGAGGGATCCTGACCCCCATGGCTGCATTGGATCAAAGTCCTCCTGAGCCTTCATCTGGCAGGAAACTGGGAAAGAAGGAAAGGGTTGTTTTGGCCTCCTGTTGATAAGGAGCATCCCTGTGTTTTAGGTTGTGCCTGGGTTGAGAGGAGGATGAGTCAGTCCGGCTTAAAACCTGCTGTATCCTCTGCTCAATCTGTTTAACCTCCTCTAATGCAAATTAAAACATGCCTAATTTATTAACGTATAGGAAGACAACTTGGCAAAAACATTTCTCTGCCTTTTAATGGCATTTTAGCAACAGAAACAACACATTTCTCACGGCTCACGCTGCCACTTTCTAATCCTTGATGTGTTTTCACAGCACAGCCAGTCATTTATTTGCCCAACCCCCAGCTGGCAGAGAATAAAATCGGGCAATACTCCCCAGATAAGGTCTGGCTGGATATAAAGCCCTGGCAGAATCATTCCAGTGGCTGTGGAAATCCTGTGGAAAGGGCTGTTTGCCATCAGCCATGAGCAAAATCTGCCAGAGGCACGATGGTCACTCACCCACTGAAGGTCTCTGGTTGGAATTCTCCTGCTCTGGGATGGCAGCAAATCTCCAAAGAGGCCAGTGAAGGGTAAAACCTGAGCTGACTTTGGCTGTAAAACCTCTCAAAAAGCCAGAAGTGTCTGGCTGTGAGGGTGGTTTGCAGGGAGGAGGAAAAGCAGGGTTAAATTTTTTCATTGTAATTCATTGTAATTTTCATTTTCATTGTAATTCAGACAAGGTTTTGAGGAGGGCAGAGTGAGATGCTGAGGGAAGAACAGCTCACCCTGCTCACCCAGGGCTGCTCCCAGGGCAGGAAATGTGCCCAAGGCTCGGAGACAGGGAGGGAAATCACAACCAGGGCTGAGTGTGATGGAACAGGGACCCCAGCAGATAACACAGAGCAGATATTGGGGCAAGGCTGGCTGCAGGAGGACTCAGACAGGCTCTGGCAGCCTGGGTTTTATTCCTATTTCAGCATTCAGGGTGTTAAACACTTTGCTGGATGCTAAATACTGAAATGCTCCTTCTTGTGCTTCAGGGAGTGATTTCCCGAAGTTTCACTCAGATTACCTCCCTCCCCTTCTGTCACTGTGAACAAACCACCTGCACTTTGGCCATAAATTAAGGATATTGTTTCTAGCCTGCCCCCCCCACACACACACACACACAACCCCTGAGCCCTGGCAGAAGTTCTCTGGCTCATTTTCCACCCCCCTCAGCACTGCTGGGGCCAGGGATGTTGGAAAAGGGGCTCTTGGTGACACTGAGCCCTTCCCCAGGCTCAGCATCACCATCCTGGCCATGCCACTGATGGAAGGGGGGTGAACATGTTGGATCCTCCCTCAAGACCCACTCAATTTATGATCAATTCATCCCCTTTGCCCCAAGAGAGCCCCACTGAGCCCCAGTTTCCCTCCCAAGTCGTCCCTCTTGGAGAAGGTAACGACAACCTGCACATTTTTCTGGAGATTCATTGTCAACAAGAGCCACCCAATTGTCCATCTAGGGCTGTGTTTTCCAGCAAAACCCTCACCTGGATTAGGGAAAGGACACTTATGTCAAAGAGATGCCAAATTGATGCACCAGGACTTCTCCTTTTCATAAAAAGTGACTATTCTTGGGAGGTTTTAATAAAACTTTGATGCTGGCACTGAACATGCACTTTGTGCTGGGACTTTTAATATCCCTCCTCCATGTAGGTGTGGGAAAGGAAGCACTGGGTTGGTTTTAGAGGTGGAAAACCGAGGGGAATCAGAGCCCACCTCACATCAAACCTGGAAGGTTAAAATCAGGAGCTGAGCCAAGATCTGTGAGGCCACTGAGAGCAGAAGCTTTTCCTCACTGCTTGGAGTCATCCCTTCCTCTTTAGTTCCCCCTGTTTCTGTGGGAATGGATTTCATTAAGTGCAATCTGTTTGCAAAACAAGAATTCCTTCTGCAAAGGCACATTTATCCCTTCCCTGGGGCCCGAGTGCCGCTGCCCGCTCAGGAAATAAAATTAGTTGTGATCCTTGGGAAATTAGAAAACAAATCAGTCATTACCCTAATGGAAAACTCTTTTCAGTCCCGTGGGTACACTCTGCACACAAGCCTAAAGTGGTTTCTTTGGGGGTTTATGGAAAATTAATAGGAGCCAAGTCGTGCTGTAAATCAAGGGAGGAATTAGGAAGGAATTCAGAGGCTTCCGAGTTTTCTGCCTGCTGGTGTCATTCTTGCTTGCAAGGAGTTAATCTTCAGGGCTTTGTCAAGCTTTGAAATCAAGGCAAAGAGGATCCTTGGGTTGATCAGCACATGGATTGTGCTTTTCAGCTTCCCTTGAGTCTTTCTGGTCATCACTCGTGGTCAGAGCATCAAAATCCAGGTGATTAGTGAAGGATAACCCTTCATCAGGGCCTGGAAAGGGGATTGCACACCAAAATCAGCACTGATTTGCTCCACTTCTGTTCAATCTTAGTGTGGGAGGAAGATCCAGGGCTGGATGGGATGTTCCAGAGGGGCTGAAGCCTCTGTGTGTCCCCAAGGGGACAGTTCTGCCACTTGGGCACCAAGTTGGGGGCTGCGAACAGCCCAGGCTTGGACAAGCTTTGCATGTCACCATCATAAACAACAGCCAGTTTACTTGGGAAGAAAAGACTTTTTAGGACTGAGGAAATAAGGTTTTTGGGTTGGTTCAATCAGTTCATAACTTATAAACTTGGCCCAAAGTGGTTCAATAGAGGGAAATGAAGGCAAAATTTCAGTAGCACAAAGATGAAGATCACGAGAGATGATCATGTGGTGATTCCACACAACCTGAGTCTGAGTCAGAGGAGAGAACTGAGACATTTCTCTGAGCAAAGCCCTCAGAGTTTGCCCTAAAATCTCCTCTGTGGCAAAAGATGACGCTCCTGTTAACACAACTTTAATGGTTATTAAAGTCTTGCTGTGAAATGCTGTTGGTTTTCCTTTCCAGCACGTTCTAAAATCACCACAGAAAGGAAAACAGGGGATCCCTGATGCCCCAGGTCATTTTTACACAGTTGTCTCCTGATGCTGCCCCAGATGAAGGTGACAGAGCCAGAAGCCCCTGGCTCCTCACTTTTCTTACCTCTTCAGCTCTCCCATGCTCAGAGAGGACTGAAATGAATATTTGCTTTTTCCCTGAAGAGCAAATAAGAGATTATCCAGAAATCTTTGGTACTTCAACTCTGCCAATTTTCACTTGAGTTTTGTGAGTGTTCTTCTGTGTTTTACCTCATCCACAGACGAGGGGGTTTATTTTCTTTGGCTCTGAGATTTATTCTTCCACCTGTTCCTCATTACATTATTTTGTCTCCAGGTGTGTGACTTACTGCAACAAGGGGCTTTTATTTTTGTGTGGGGAAGTAACACCAAGTCCCTGCGGATCTGACAGTCTGGAAGGTCACAGAATCATGGAATATCCTGAGCTGGAAGGATCATCCAGTCCAACTCCTGGCCCTGCACAGGACACCCCAATAATGTGCCACTCAATGTGCCACCACAATACTGTGACACTCCCACCTGTGTCTAAAAGGGGAGTCTAATCCTGGGATGAAATGTCTGGAAGGAAATATTGGGTCTGCCGAGTCCTCAAACCACTCAGAGTCTGCTGGTGGTTTTGTCTAACCCCAAATTCACAGAATCATGGAATGGTTTGGGTTGGAAGGGACCCTAAAGCTCATCCAGTGCCACCCCCTGCCATGGGCAGGGACACCTTCCGCTAGCCCAGGTTGCTCCAAGCCCCGTCCAACCTGGCCTTGGACACTTCCAGGGATCCAGGGGCAGCCACAGCTTCTCTGGGGAAACTGTGCCAGGGCCTCCCCACCCTCACAGCCAAGAATTCCTTCCTAATATCCCATCTAAACCTCTCCTCTTTTAGTTTAAAAGAGCTCAGCTGCTCCAGAGGATCAGGCTGGGGGTGGACAACGCCACAGATTTACTCAGCAACTGGAATTCTCCACCCCTGTGCTCTGCAGAGCAAGTCTCCAGCTCTGCACCCATGGGGCACCTCCCTCCACGGGAGCATTAATTATTAATTCTTAATTACTGCCACTTCCCAAACGAGCTGGGAGCTAAAATGGGTTTTTTCTAATCCCATCAATGGAAAAGAACTCGTGGCAAATCCACTGCAGGCAGATGGAGGTGGCAGGGAGGACATCAAGGCCTGCACTAATTACTCCACGCATCTCAAGGACTGATAAGAAGTTGATTTATGCCTGGAACAGCCTGATAATTCCTGAAATAATAGATAGTGGGTGACTTAATTAATCAGAGTCAACCTGGCTGTGCTGGGATTTGGAGTGAGATTTGGATCCTGCAGTTGTCCCTCGTTGTATCAGGTGAGTTCTTGTGCTCTCCTGTTTGGGGAATGTGAGGGGAATGTGTTTGGGGAATGTGAGGGGAATGTGTTTGGGGAATGTGAGTATGGCAGGATTAGAATCCCAGATTTATCAAGGGCTGGCAAAGCCCTCCAAGATCCAGCCTTTGAGCAAACCCCACCCTGCCAACTAAACCACAGCCAGGAGGGGGGTTGAACTTGTTTTAATTTCTGAAAATACAGTTTATATCCACGTCCAGACTGACATTCAGAACCAATAAATACACACGACAGCCCCCCGGGGCTTCACAATGATCAGCACCGACAGAACAACAGAGTGGTTACATCACTTTGGGTTAGAATGTGAGAACATCATGAATACACTGAATCCTTTAGGATTTAGACCTATTTAGGATTTAGGTCTTCCTAATCATGGGGTTTTTTTCCTCATTCTTGGTGTGTTTGAAGGATTCCTGGGCACCATGAATCCCTTAGGTGGGTTCATGACACTAAACCAATGCAGAAGGAGCACCCAGCACGTTCCAACCACGGGTCATGCACAGCTTGGAGGTCAGTGCTGGGGCCTTTTGGGTATGAAACTCTTAAGAAACAGCACTTTTCTCGTAAGAGATCCCCTTGAAGGATTCCAGAGACACTGTCTGAGCTGTTTTCTGCTTTGAGCTGCTCCCAACAGTGCAAAGCAGCCACAAGCCCAGCTTAACAAGGCAGTTAAAACTGATTTCGTGTGGTTTTGCATCACTAGGGCAGTACAAAGCCTGGAAACCAGTTCTCCAGAGGACCCAAAGTGATCCCACGTGACCCAGGTCACCACAGGAGCTTGGCTACAGCCCAGCACAGACCCTACCACCCCGAGCTGGGGAAGGGAGGGGAGTGAAGCCACTTCTATGTACATTTACTGGAGCCTGTGGGTCTCCACCTTTCACCTTTGCCACGAATTCATCTCTCCTCGAGGCCCCCCCAAGTTCTCCAGCTCTCCCAGCCCTTTGCAGCCCCAACCCACGCCCTCAGACCTTGCTGGTCTGCATGTGGCCGTTGAATTCCACGTTCCTCTGGGTCAGCATGGACTCCTGCAGGCGGCTGCTGTTCTCCTGCCTGTGCTCCACGGGCTCCCCGTCCTCCACGCCGCTGCCCTTCCGCAGGCAAAGGACCTTCTGAAAGCTCTGCTTGAAGTTGTCAGAGAGGAACCCGTAAAGGATGGGGTTGGCACAGCTGTTTGCATAGGACAGCACCACCATAAAGAAGTACAAGCCCTCCAGCACGGGGTCTGCTGGCAGGATGAATATCAAGTTGACGATGTTCATGGTGTAAAAGGGGAGCCAGCAGAGCACGAAGACCACCACGATGATCACCACCATCCTGGTGACCTTCCTCTCCGACCTCCTGCGCCTCGTAGACCCCACCCGGACCCCCGACGACTTGACCTTGATGACAATCAGCAAGTAGCAGAGGCAGATCACCAGCAGAGGCCCAAAGAAGCCCAGGACCGAGGTGTAGACGATGAAAGCCGCCGACCAGATGTTGACGGGCTCCGGCCAGTTCATGTTGCAGGTCTGGAAGTCCTCCTGCACGTCCGAGAAGATGATGACTGGAAGCACCACCAAGAAGGAGAATGTCCACACGGTCATGCTGATGAGCTTGGCCACCCTGGGCCGCCTCCACTTGGTGGATTTGATGGGATGAACCACGGCCAGGTACCGGTCCATGCTCATCACCGTCAGGCAGAAGATGCTGGTGAACTGGTTGATGCCGTCCACGGTCATGACCAGCCTGCACAGGAAGGAGCCAAAGGGCCAGTAGGAGATGGCATTCTGGGTGGCCAGGAAGGGCAGGCCCAGCATGAAGAGCACGTCGGCCACGGCCAGGTTGAGGATGTAGATGTTGGTGACCGTTTTCATCTTGGCGTGACGCAGCACCACGTAGATGACCAGCGTGTTCCCGCTGAGCCCCACGGCGCACACCAGGAGGTAGCAGATGGGGATGAGCACTTTGTGGACGTACTTGAAGGGGGGCTGCTCCGGGAGGGTCCCGTTCTCTGTCGTGTTCGTCAGCAGGGAGGAATTCCCGCCGCCGGAACCGCCCTCGAACGCGTTGGGAAAGTACAAAGGATCCATAACTTTTTACTTTTTAAGGCTAAAGGAGGTTAAACTTCATGGGCATCTTGTTCCTAGAAAGAAAATTTGAAGAGGAAGAAAAAAGAGAGAAGGAGTGAATTCACAGAACATTCAGTTTTACACATAATTTAATTTTCTCTCCGGGTTCAGGGTTTATGTTGGAATTATGCAGCGAGGATGTGAGATCAATGCCTGGACAAAGGAATTGCACAGTGGGAGAGCTCAGGGCTCATCCCAGGAGCTGCTGGAATCTGTTTCATTTTCACAGGATCCAGGCAGAGCTGGATGGAACCATAAAGATGGGAGGCAGCACAACAGTAACACGGAAACGACAGGAATCCTGCTGGGAAACACGGGTGAGAGGGGAGAGGGTGAGGCCATCACACTTCCCAGCCTGAGGCAGAAGGATTGGAATGCCCTGGCATGTGGTTGTTTGGGTCCAAAACCTGCTGTAACAAGGCCAGTCCTTCCTCTGCTGATGAGAAATGGGAAGTTTTGCAAACAACCTTCACTATTTGAGTGTCTCACTCTCTGTAACCTGCCATACAGCCAATGTCCTCTTCTGGGATATCCAGGAGCTGGGCTGATAATACCAACACTTCCCAGCCTGGAAAAAGGAGAGGGTCTTTTAGCAAGGTCATGGAGTGACAGGACAAGGAATAATGGCTTTAAACTGAAAGAGGATAGGTTTAGTTTAGACATGGGGAAGAAATCCTTCCCTGGGAGGGTGGGGAGGCCCTGGCAGAGGTTGCCCAGAGAAGCTGTGGTTGCCCCTGGATCCCTGCAAGTGTCCAAGGCCAGGTTGGACGGGGCTTGGAGCAACCTGGGACAGTGGAGGATGTCCCTGCCCATGGTAGGGGGTGGGACTGGATGAGCTTTAAGTTTCTTCCCCATCCAAACCATTCTGAGATTCTGTGAAGTCCACAAGGCCACCTTTACCCTTTATTTTCTGTCTAAAATCTGATAGAGGAATTGTTGGAGTAGAATTTGGAAGGGCTCTGAGGAGCACACATGGGTCAGGCTGAGAGCAGAGCCCTGCATTGCTGCTGAGAGCTTTAAAGTCCCATTTGGGGCAGTTCTGCTGTCACTGAGGTGACCTGGGGAGGCTCAGGGATGACTCCACCCCACCTCACTCCCGCACAGCCCAGAGCCAAAGGCATTTCCCAGCCCTTAGGATCAGAAGCTCTGCTCCCACGTTTCCCAAGTCTCCTTGTTTGCATAAAAACATCAGTCTGATGGATTCAAATTCCACTTATTGCCTGGCAGAGCCACTGGAGAACCCCCAGGGAGCACCAGCAGCGTGGAGGTGGGGAACTAAACCCTCCATGACAACGACAAAGCCCCAGGAAAAAAGCCCATGAGCTCCAAGGTGGGGAGGCCCATGGCTGAGCTCCCTTCTCCGTGGATCAGGATGAGTGCACAGGAGAGGAACAACCTCCTCCTTTTCCATCTCTCAAGACTGTTCTTCTCTCAGTGTTTCCAATCCCTCTCCTCTCACCTGAACTGTACTTTGTGGCCGAGAAACACCTTTATTCTGCCAGAACTCCAAGCTGCAGTGGGCACTGCAGGGCACAGCTGAGCAGAGGGGGTGGCAGGAGAAGTTTTAATAGACATTCTGCAAGAGGCTGAGAATTTCAAACGCCCTGTTTCTCTGCTGGGCTTGATTCACAGGAATATTTTTCATATTTTTGTCCAAGTAGGTGTTTATAAAGCATTTCTCCAGAGAAACTTGAAAGCATTTGCTCTAAAAAAGTTGCAGATTCAAAACACGAGGTCTCCCCCGAGTCTCACAACGAATCCTGGTGAAGATGCTCAAGCAGGTTGTGCTCAGCAACTTGTGTTGCCATCACCTGATGGTCAGATTTCCATAATAATCCGGGGGCAGGAAGCTGGATTCCCAAACACCCAGCCCACTCTGCATCCATGCCTTTCAAGCCCAAGCAAACTGTGCATCACTGCGGCACGAGAACCTCCTTGTCTCCAGGAGGAATCCAAAAACACCTCCACGGCTGTTGCTGGGCTTTTTCTCTTGGGGTGAGAAAAACCGCAGTGGGGGAGAGAGGAGAAGTCCCTCCAGCTCCCAGTTGTAATCACAAATCTGCTGCTCTGATTTGGAAACGTGCAGATGGGGAGTAGGTGTCTCACATGTCACTCCACGGCTGGGAAGAGATGGAGCAGGGAAATCAGGGATCCAGGGGGGCTGGGATGGCAGGAAGAGCTCCACATCATCTTATTCCCCCCCCAAATCCAAGCCAGAGGTGAAAAGGACCATTTTAAAGATGTAAATGGTTGGGAGGGTTTTTTTTTTTCAGGGTTTGCTTTAGGGCAGTCGTGGGAGAAGTCGAATTTGGGGGGTTTTTTAGGTGATTATTCTAAAGCCACTTTCCTAATTTTGGTCATGAAGGAAATATATGAACCACCTACAACGTTCTTACAAATGCTGGCTTGGAGGTGGAGATGATCTGCAGGTTCTGAACACTTTGTTTGGGTGTTTGGGTTCAGGTGTTGCAACCATGGGCACAGTTGGGAACATCCTTGCAATCCCTGCAGGGAGAGCTCAGGCAGCCCATACTCCTTATAAATTAAATAGGACTGGATTAGTGCTTAGATAAAAAAAGGCAAAGCCCAGCTCTGTCTAAAAAGTGGAGTTTTAAATGCTGTCCTGACCCTCAGCTTAAAATATTGTGTTAAATCTCAGTTTAAAATATTGTGTTAAAATCTCAGTTTAAAATATTGTGTTAAATCTCAGTTTATTCTTGGGGGGGGGAATCTGGGAGAAGCCACAGCAGCCCCTTGCTCCTCCTGGGCTCTGGGGGTTTGGGAAGATCCCATTTTCTCTCTATGTGACCCAGCTGGGATGTTTGAAGGGCAGAATACAAAGGAAAAGGGTGATGGGATGGGGCAGTCGGTGTTTATAAACTCTTTTATTTCCAGCTGAAACTTTGGGGCTGAGTTTGGTGCTGAACCTGGGAAAGCAGCTCTCCTCAGCAGTCCAGACAAGCTCAGCATCACCAGCCTGGGCCAAAAAAAAGCCAAGTTTTTGTGCTGGGACTCCAAAAATAGGAGGATGTAAAAAGAACTGGAGCTCAGCAGGGGCAGGTCAGGAGGTGCAATCATGTGTGGCTCATCCTGGGGCTCTCAAAAATGAGGAAGGACATCTTTCCTCTAAAGTCACCTCCTTTTTTTCCCCCAGCACATCCCCTGGAAATAGGTGACTGTGGAAATGACCCAGGAAGTTCCAGCCTGGTGCTCCTTCCACTGTCTTTGGAGTTGAGGCCTTGGAGGAGCAGGACAAGGAGCTCCTTTAGTTGGACACTCCCAGATTTCTTCTCACCCTGAAGAAAATCTACAGCACAAAGGGCCTCAGGCTCTTCCAGCCATCCATGCCCGGCGTTCCTGATGCATCCAAAGGAAGGACTGGAAGGACTTTGTGTGTCTTCCATGGAGAGGGACAGTTTCCAGCCTCCTCCAGCAGCAGCTGTGACATCTCCTCCTCTGCTGTGCTGTCCCCAGGGGTCAGTGACACTTCAGCACTTTGTCACTGCAGTATTTTGGGGCTCTTCTCTTGGTTCTGTGTGAACATTAACCTTCCCTCTCAGGGGTTTTGTTGAATTAAAATTAAAAATATGATGAATTTCACAATATTCCTTGTCATACCGAGAGCACTGAGAAGGAAATCACGGAATCCTGGAATAGTTTGGGTTGGAAGGGACCTTAAAGAACATCCAGTCCCATCCCCTGCCATGGACAGGGACACCTTCCACTGTCCCAGGTTGCTCCAAGCCCTGTCTATCCTGGCCTTGGACACTTCCAGGGATGGGACAACACATTTGCTGAGGGGGCAAATCCATTTGCTAAGGCTCTGATGCAAAATCTCAAGTGTTCATCTGGTGCCAACCAGCAGGCTGGCAGCACCAGGAGGGAATTTCCATCACCTGAACGTTCCCATGTGAGGATGTGATGTGCTTAAAGTCATCCAGATCTGAAAACTGAGCCCAGACCTCGAGTGTCCGTTCCCTGTTTTATCCACTCAGACATGGAAACCTCCCTCCCTCGTAGCCACTGGTATTTTGCTTTTTGTTTGGTTTTGTTTGTTTTTTTTTTTTATGATATGGCAACAACAAAGGAAAGCCCGGACAGCTGCAGATGATGCTTTTCTGGCTGTTTTGGGTGAGCACAGAGGATTTGTCCCTCTGTCCATCTCACAACTTGCCCCATTCTGCCTGGGCTCACATTGTCACTCCAGCAGTTAATGGCCATGAACCTCCCCAAAGGATGACTAAACATAATTAAGACATGCTGACTGATACCTGATAGCCTTGTTTGGGTGTTCTTAATTAGTGGATTAATAAAACACATCCCTCCAGGGGCACTTGCTCTCAGCCAGCTTTTTTTCCCTTCGGTGTTTGATCTCCGAGCCACCCCACTGGTACAGTCCATAAATTATGGGCTTTCTGCTTAAAACACACAAAGCAGAAAGGAGATAAGAACACAGACCCAGAGTAACCAATGATATCATTCCAAATTCTCCTTTGGCAGGGCAAAAAAAAAATCAGCATCCACTGCAGCTGAACATATCTGACTGTCCATGTCCCTGCCATAATGAGGGAAGAAAGAAAAGAGGGATTAGAGCACAGCCCATCCTGCTCAGAATTTAGTGAAAACTTCTCTAGCAGGTATCTTAAATAAATGTAATTTTTCTGGGCAAGAGAGCAAGGATCCAACAGCACAGAGCCCATCAGTGACTGAAGACCATCACAGCCTAAGGAAGAACAAACCTTAAAAATGCCCAACTAGATGAAGGCTGAAATCCTGCCTGGCTGTGGTTGTGATAGCAAAGCAAAAATAACCCTCTGGAGTGCATTGCATGAGAGTGGAGCTGGGATCAAGCAGGAATTACAGTAAGAAACCTAATTTTATGAGTCAAGATTTGATCTTGCTGCCTATTTACTGCTGGAATCATAACTCTCTTATGCAGCACCGACCATAATTGCTGTGAATGGAATTACAAACAACAGGATGGCAAATTGCTGCTTCCAGGTGCAGGAGGACCAGGAATAACAGGCAAAATGGGAACCCAGAGGGACAGGCTTTGAAAACAGGCATTCTAAGGAGTAATGGGAAGAAAAGCAGCTGGATAACTCTCCAAGAATTATGTACTGGCAGCAGAACTTTGTGAGGTTTTCCCATCCCAGAAAGAAATCTCACCCCACGGATTTGTTAGTGGAGTAATTTGCTGTAATAATTTGCTGTAATAAAGCAAAAAAACCTCTCTTGGTCCTTCAGTAAATTTGCCCTTTTGAGTGTTTATCACCTGCTGCTTCCCATAAAGCCCCTGGGGCCTCATTCCTGGTGTTTTCATGGATCCAGCAGGCAGAGCTGAGGGTTTTGCTGCTGGAAGGGGAGGGAGATGGTGTGAAAGTTGGTGTGACCTGGAAGAGCAGCTCTGAAACAACACCCCCAGGGAAGGCTCTGTGTGAGCAGGAGGGAGATGCAGCATCGTGGTGAGACCTCCTTCACCCCCTGGCAGTTGTCACCATGTCCTGGGACTAAACCAGGAGCTCCCTAAAAGTACAGAAATCTCATTGTTCCATATGTAACATTCTTGGTTTCCCCTCTCCCAACCCCATTCCACCACCGGGGGTTGAAAAGCAGAATGAATCAGTTCAGATGGGAACTTTCTCCTCGTTAAAAATCTGCCATTTGATGTTTCTCAGGGTGTGTTTCTCACTCCAAAAAACCTGGAGGGATTGATTTTTCCCTACAGAACACACAACAAACCAACTGTCTCGCCATAAATTGCTTCTCTCTTTGGATTAACTGCTTTGGTGCTAAACACTGATCAGCTGAAGTCCAAGTTGAATGACTTCTTACCACTTCTGGCACTAGAAAAATCTTTAAAAACCACATTTTCAAGCTGACAACACCTGGTTATGCCCCTGTTCACCCCAGCCCAGCGTTTCCTAGAGCACCCTGAGGAGACACGACCTGGTTAATTTGCTCCTATTTTTAGTTTGCAAACAAACAGCCCATAAAACGATTCTGCTTTTGCCAAATATTTGCTGAATCCTTTCTTTCCCCAAGCACACCTCAGGCTCTGTTTTGCTCAGGGATTACTCACTCGGGCCGAGCTGGTCCTGCCACACAGACAATCCTGGAAATCACCTGCTGCTGGTTTTGATCCCAGATTTCAGCAGATGAGGTAGAGGACGGTGTGGAGCCGACACCTCTGTGCCCTCCCCGGGCTGGGATGACATTCCAAAATCCAGCTCCTGCCCTGCTCCATCACCATCAGCAGGGGTTTGTATCAAAATGCTTCTCTTCCAACCCTCTCCTCTGTAATCCAGCCCATCCAAATCCAAACATCAGCTGGTCTCAGGGACGTGAGAGGCTCAAAGACAGGGTAGTTGAGGAGCACTGACTACAGGCTGGGTCTGCTTCCAGGCTGGGGGAGAGCTGGAACAGCCACGGATCCCTTTGGCTCAGGGAGAGCCCGGGTTGGAAGGAGCTCAGGAACAGCTTCTCTTGCTGTAAGAAGTGGAGCAGCTCCAGAAGAGGAGCCTCAGGGAGGAACTTCCAAGGTGTGGGGTCTCTGGCTTGGATAAACCCCACACCAGCAGTGCAGATCCACCCCAGCCACCGAGTCCTGGTGCCAGTGTGTCCAGGAGCTGGGATTTCCCACCCCAGCACTCCCAGACTGATCCCAGCCCCCTGAGAACAGGCTGCCTGGTGGAACCTGCACCTCTCCTCCCTCAAAAACTCCAAAAGCTCTCTAGTTCACCCCAACACAGCCTGCAAGTCCAAAACATCCCTGAGGCGGGTTGTTTCTCTGCTCTTCAGCGCAGAGCTCTGGGCACCGGGAACAAGCTGTGCCCGGATCCGGGAATTCTGGGAGCCGTCTGGAGCCAGCACAGGGACACAGGGAGCTGCTCCCAGCCCGGAGCAGCGCTGATCCCCAGGGCTCCGCTTCGACCTTGACATCCGCGTCCTGCTGCCCACCCTGGAGCAATTCCAGCCCCCCGCGCTTCCCACCCCCCGTGTTGGATCGGAGAGGAGCATCCTGGATCGGCTTTCGCACCTTTTTGGGGAGGGCAGCGCCGGGCTCTGCCCGCACATCCCTCCCGCGGGTGCCTTTCTCATCCCTTTCGAGCTTCCAAGCCGCGCTGAGGCTGGTCCTGCTTCAAACACCGAGTCCTCCGCCCGGCAGCGGGACCCTTCCCGGGGTCCCTCCAGCCAGGACGGGTCATTCCCGTCTCCAGCGGGTCCCTCCCTGCCATCCCTCCAGCCAGGACGGGTCATCCCCGTCTCCCCCACCATCCCTCCAGCCAGGACGGGGGTCACTCCGCATGGAAAGCCCCCTCAGAAGGGCAAACTCGGGGTGGCCACAAGCGGGACCGATGACTCCAGTGCCTCGTTCACCGCAGCGAGCCCCCAAAAGCGCTTTGCGACCCCTCGCCTGCCCCATCCCCATCCTCCCTCCTCTCCCCCTATCGCCGTCTCCCTCCTCTCCCAGCCCCGCTCGCTGCTCCCGTCTCCCCTTGGGATCGTTACCTGCGGCTCCAGGGGCTCCTCTCCCCTGTGGATGCAGGATGCTCCCGCTCCCCCCCCGAGCCGCGGCTGGAGCCCCGCTCCGGGAGCGCTCCCCGCGCGTCCCTGCGGCGGCGGGCGGGGACGGGGCCGCTCCCCCCACCCCGGGGAGGAGGGACGGGGCTCCCGGCCGGGGGAGCAGCGGGCCTGGGGCCACCCCCTCGTCGGGAACTCGGGCGGGAGGGTGGGAGCCGAGGGAGCGGGAGGCAGGAGCGCTGCGCCGGGATGCTCTGCCCGCGGATCCTCCCCGCGCGTCTGTGCCCCTTCCCCGTTTCTGTGCCCCCTTCACCACATCCGTGCCCACCTCCCCATGTCTGTGTCCCCCTTCCCAAGTTTCTGCCCCCGTCCCCATGTCCGTACCCCCTCCCTATGTCTGTGCCCCTCTTCCCACGTCTGTACCCCCCTCTCCGTGTCTGTGCCCCTCTTCCCACGTCTGTGCTCCCCTCCCCGTGTCTGTACCCCCTCCCCATGTCTGTGCCCCCCTTGCGATTTCTCTGCCCCCCTCCCTATGTCTCTGCCCCTCTCCCCGTGCCCGTCCCCCCCCTCCCCAATCCCAGGGATGCCCTTACCTGGCTCTGCCGCTCCCGCCGCTCTGCCCCGACCCCGGGGCTCGCAGCCCCCCCGGCCCGGTGCGGGCTCCGCTCTGCTCCCGGGAAGGGCCGGAGCCCCCACTGCCCGCCGAGGGGAGAGACCCGCATTTCCTCCCCCTGCCCGAGCTCCTTCCAGCCCCGACAAGTCCTTTTAAAGGCTCCCGCGGGCTGGTCCTCAGCGAGCCCCCTCCCCGAGCTGCTCCCCCAAAACACGGCACACGAGCCCGCGGGCTCCTCCGGGGGCAGCGACGAGGATCTGACATCTTCGGCACGGTTATTTGATGCTCCTGTCCCTGAGCAGAAGGGGAAACCGAGTGCCAGGGTCGCCCTCTCATCCTGCCTCTCCACGGAGAGCTGCAATCCCATGTGGGGAGGTTTTACTCCAGCTGGCTGCGAGTCAGACCCGAAAATTACTGTCTGGTGGAAAGATAAGGGCTTAACATCCAGGCTGCGTTGGATTTATTTCCCTCCTAACCTGCCTGGGGGGTTCTGCTGGGCAGGAAGAGGGCGAAATATTCGGAATTTTGAGTATTTTGAAACGCAACAAGTGGAATAAAAGTCGCGCAGAGCTCTCCCCTCTCCACCCCGCACCCTCCCTGTGCTGTTACATCTCTAAACATCAGTACCGGTGGCACTTACACTGCTTTGCTCTCTCCCTCGTGAGGGGGGTCAGAGCCGGGTGGTTACAGAGCTCAGGGCTCCCCAGCCCTGCCAGACACTCATCAGCATTCCCGGGGCATCGTGCTTCCTAATAATGGATATGGACTTCATGCACTGCCGAGGCTTTTCAATTAGAGACCTGTGATTGAGTCAGACGTGTGAAGGCAGGGGAAAAAAAAAAAAAGCGAAGGAGAGAGCTGCTTTTGGCATGTCAGCCTGTAATTCAATCTGCTGATGTATTTATGGTCATGTATTGCTAAATTGAACTCAGACTCCGGTCCTCTCTCGCCATGACAATGGGGAGAGTCATCCGATAAAAATAGAGTGGGGCTGATAAACAGAAAAGGAAGAGGAGGTTTTGATCACCTCCTCTGGAAATGTGCCAAGCAAAATGGGAGTGCAACAGCCCCACTGGGAACATCAGCTTGAATCAGAACGGGGTTAATTTAAGAATTACCCTCCAATATTTTATTAGCATTTTATTAGCGTTTATGAGATGTGAAACGTTGCTAAGAAAACACGGTGGTCCTTGAGGTTCCTGGAAGAAAACAGCACTTTTCTTCTAAATAAACACCTTGGCAAAAGTAATTTTCGCGGGGTCTGTGCTGGGATAGAGGCAGGATTCTCCAAAGCTCTCAAGGCTTGTTGAATTCTTCACCCACTCAAGTCAACGAAGGGAGTGAGAGCACTCCCTGTCCTGGTGCTTTTAGTGACTAATGCCCCGGGCAGAGGGCAAAGAGCAGCTCCACCAACCACAGAATAAACAGGGTAGGAAAAAGAACTCCTGGCACTGCCCAGATGGGCAGGAGGGGCACCCAGACCTTCAGGGGTGCATGGGAAGGGTGGTGGCTCAGGTTTGTGGTGGGGAGGGTCAGTGAGTGGAGGACGTCACACCACAGTGATGTGACAGTTGTCTTTTATTTTTAACTCTTCTGGGTCTGTCCTTTTTGCTATGTGTAATATTTTACAGCTGGATAATCTGTGTGTTTCTAACACCTTTTTGTGTCCACGTTCTGGAGAGGGGAGAGGTCTAATATTGGCCTAAAAGCCTCAAAGTGCAATATTTTGGTTTGTTTGACCCTTGGTGGGTGTTGCTGCGGTCCAGCAGGCCAATGGAATCCTGAGATGCATGGGAAGAGCATTCCCAGCAGGTCAGGGAGGGGATGCTGCCCTGGGGAGGCACATCTGCAGGGCTGGGCCCAGCTCTGGGCTCCTCAGCACGGCAGGGACAGGGAGCTCCTGGAGCTACAGGGATGAGGAAGGGATGGAGCATCTCCGG